TATAAAGCAGAACTATATACTTTATATCTAACTTACTATTTACTTAAATCATGCCTTCTTTATAAGCGAACTATCTGTCCTTTAATAATAAGTAACCTTCCTAAATTCTATCTATGGGATATGAGAGTAACCTCCTCTTCTGAGAGCATTAAGGAGCTGGCCAAGGGTAGAATTCGTTACGAAATGCACTCTGAGGGTATGCGACGGTGTGCTAAACACCATATTGAGGGCTATCGTGACAAATTGGCCCAAGTTCAGAGGCACGAGGGCAATAACAACTTCAGAGGATAGCTGCAATTGATTGGCTAACAGAATCCCTGCCCTCTCCACTCTAGACCCTCTATCCTATACCCGATTAGGAAAGATATACAGCTTCAAATTAGCGCTAGGACGCACTTTTCGGCGGCATCAGTACCACTGGCATCAGTACTTAGTTCGGAGTCGTGCCCCAAAAGTAGCCAAATACGCTAAGAGATAGTTTGCCAAGATGAAGAAACTTACCTTAAAATCAGACAGCTCGGGGCTCAGAGTCCTCTAAAGCCCTACTACTTAGGCTGTCAGCAGGCCTAAAGCTTATGGAGAAAGAGATGTCAAATGACATGGTTGCTAAGAGTGTACTTCTTGGCACATATATCCTTAGGGTAGTTTGACTACTTTTGGGGTACGACTCCGTACGTACTCGGTACTAAGTTACATACTATCACTACAGTACCACTGTAGTGCTACGAACATCAACCTTGGGTCGACGCTACATGGTCATCGCCATATTGCACGAACTGAACAGAATATTGCTCCTCACTTACCGTTGCCATCATGAGTGTGCTTCTGGAAACATCTCTAGGCGATATTGTAGTCGACTTGCTGGTGGATGCCGCGCCGAAATTGTGCGAAAAGTGAGTTGTTTTCCTGTCTCTTGCAATACATCTCTAAGAGTGTGGCTGAATCATTCAATCACTACAGGGTCTTTATTGAGCAATCACTAACAACTCGTACAGCTTTTTGAAATTATGCAAGATCAAGTATTACAATTTCTCTCCTGTACATAGCGTGCAGAAGAATTTCTCATTCCAGACAGGCGACCCCCTTGGACCAGATTCCAAGGAGAGCGATGGAGGCTCATCAATATGGGGGGTACTTGACGCGCGCGCCCCCAAAACTTTTGTTGCGGATATTGATCCGAAACTAAAACATCTGGAGATGGGCACGGTGAGCATGGCTACAGTGGCATCTACCAAAGACCCGGATATCCGCCTGGCCGGGAGTCAGTTCCTCATCACCTTAGGGGAAAATCTTGACTATCTGGATGGTAAAGCAGCCATCTTTGGCAAAGTCGTCGAAGGTTTCGATGCGCTGCAAAAGATCAATGAGGCGTTCATTGACGAAAGGGGTCGACCTTTAAAGGATATCCGTATCAAACATACCCCCATCCTCGACGACCCATTTGATGATCCCCTAGGGCTTAGAGAGCCATCATCCAGTCCATTGCCGTCCAAAGCTCAGCTTGCCACGGTGATGATTGGCGATGACGAAGAACTTGACGAGAATATTGATGAAGCGGCAGTAGAGAAACTGAGACGAGAACGGGAAGCACGAGCTCAAGCTCTGACGCTAGAGATGGTTGGGGACCTGCCATTCGCAGAAGTCAAGCCACCAGAGAATGTCTTATTTGTTTGCAAGCTCAATCCTGTCACTCAAGGTGGGTCAAATATCTACAGGGTAGACAATGGCTGATCAGAGCCCTAGATGAGGATCTCCACCTCATTTTCAGTCGGTTTGGCAAGATACTGTCCTGTGAAGTCATTCGTGACAAACGTACAGGCGATAGCTTACAGTATGCCTTCATCGAGTTTGAAGAACAAAAGGATTGCGAGCAGGCGTATTTCAAGATGCAAGGCGTGCTGATCGATGATCATCGCATCCATGTTGATTTCTCACAAAGTGTACGTTAAACAACTACCTGTGCAGATGCCGTCTGACTTGATCAGGTTTCCAAACTTTCAGACAATTGGCGAGATTCGACGAATACGAAGAGAGCGAAGCAGTCTGGAGGATTTGGAGGCATATCAAGCCTAGAGAAACGCCGCCAGTACCGAGCCTCGGACACGGACTCGCGTTCGCGGGGTTATGGCATGGTGTTTGACAAGGACGACATGCGCAATAGGGGTCGCCGCAATAGTCCTTCCAAATCGAGCCGAAGATCCCGAAGTCAAAGTCGAAGCCGGAGTCCAAGACGTAAGGATTACAAATACTCCTACGAGTACCGGCAGGATCGAGGCGGTCGTGATAACATTGGCCGTGATGAAGGGCGATCACGCCACGGATATCACCGGGGGGGGCGATAGCGATATTCATTATATGTTATGTATTACTTAGAAGCCTCGGGCATAGCGACGGTGCTGTAGCGGGTGTGACACTGACATTTCATGGAGACCATGGATCTTTCCCCAAACGGCCCCTTGGCACCTCCTTTAGGCCCAGGCGGGCTGAAACTACTTTGAAGCTGTTGGTTTGCTACATTTGGTGGATCTTTCACGTGTAAAGAAGTATTATAAGCAGCGGATCTGGGAGGCTGTGCCGCATTCTTCAACCGTCTCTACACCGCTCCCTAGATAACCTGCATTCTATATTGGACCTTGCCAACGAAGCTTCGTAGAGACATCGATTCAACCGCACTCAAACGTTGACCGCAGTAATGGCAGAAGCTGTCAAGAGCGGCATCAGCAATCTGATGGATACACTGCACCTCACATCGAAGGAGAAAAAAGGTGTTGCCCCTTCAGAACCATCAGAGCAAGATCTCAACTCTTTGAGGGAGAAGTATGGCAGAGCAAAGCAGGACCAGGTTTTTGCTTTCTATGACCAGCTAAGTGTTGCGGAAAAAGCCTCGCTTTACGATCAGCTCCTGCGATTCGATCCTGACCGAATTAACCACCTCGCCGATGTTGCCCTCCACCCCCCCAAAAGCTCCGATGACAAGGGCGAACCATCGATAGAACCTTTGCCAGAGTCAGCCACAGCATCAGTACTTGACTCGAATCCTGAAGATATCCAGAAATGGTATCAATCCGGTCTGGAGCATATTGCCAACAACAAGGTTGCCGTGGTGTTGATGGCAGGCGGTCAAGGCACAAGGCTGGGAAGCTCCGCACCGAAAGGGTGCTTTGATATTGGGCTACCAAGTCACAAGTCTCTTTTCCAGCTGCAGGGAGAGCGTATATGGAAGATCCAACAACTGGCACGTAAAGAGTTCGAGAAGGAAGAGGTCGTCGTGCCTTGGTACGTGATGACCAGTGGTCCAACAAGGGCCCCTACGGAGAAGTTCTTTGAAGAACACAACTACTTTGGTTTGCAAAAAGAGAATGTCTACATCTTCGAGCAGGGAGTGCTGCCATGCATCTCGAACGATGGCAAGATTTTAATGGAGGGCAAGTCGAAGGTACGAAACTGTCCATCCCTTTGAGATTGTGCCGAACTGACTTATCAGGTGGCCGTTGCACCCGACGGTAATGGCGGTCTCTATCAAGCTCTTCTGACTTCCAACGCCCGTACGGACATGAGGAAGCGAGGAATCGAGCACGTTCATGCCTACTGTGTGGACAACTGCTTGGTCAAGGTTGCCGATCCAGTGTTCATCGGTTTCGCAGCATCCAAGAACGTTGACATCGCTACGAAAGTGGTCAGGAAACGAAATGCCACCGAGCCTGTTGGTCTAATTCTGCTGAAAAATGGCAAGCCGGATGTGGTCGAATATTCAGAAATCAGCAAAGATGTTGCCGAAGCAACGGATCCTAAGCATCCCGATGTGCTGAAATTTCGAGCTGCCAACATCGTCAATCACTACTACTCGTTTCGATTTCTTGAGACCATTGAGGACTGGTCACAGAAGCTGCCACATCACGTTGCGCGCAAGAAGATTCCCCACGTGGATACCCAAAGTGGCGAGACGATCAAGCCGGAAAAGCCTAATGGAATTAAACTTGAGCAATTCGTCTTTGATGTTTTCCCATTCCTCTCGCTGGAGCAGTTTGCCTCGTTTGAGGTTGACCGAAAGGACGAGTTTTCACCACTGAAAAACGCTAGAGGAACCGGGGAAGACGATCCTGATACAAGCAGAAAGGACATCTTGGACCAAGGGACACAGTGGGTCAAAGCTGCGGGTGCTACAGTCATCAGCGACAGTGGCACAGAAGCGGAAGTTGAAGTTTCTCCACTGATCAGCTACGTATGTAATAGAAAAACCCCCCAAATACGAAACGCACTGACAGCCACTAGGGCCGAGAAGGGCTACAATATCTCAAAGGCCGTGAGATCAAATCTACTGCTGTCATCGAGAAGGACCCTGAGAGATGATAAGGACTTCTGTTGACAACTCTGCCACCAGAGAGAGGCGGTGATGGTATTCTGGCGGCGCTGGAATGGCTGTTGAGATGGTCGCCACGTGGCTTATAGATCAGCCGTTAGGGCATCAAAAAGTTCTGTTTCGATCGTGCAGTAGCTGATCAAGGCTGCAACTAGATTGCCATTTTGAACCACTGCACACTGTAGTAGTTAGACAAGACAATTATTTTTCATAGCAGGGCCCGTGACTTTCAAAGCCTAGGCCTTTTGTGGTTAAGCGGGCTTGCTGAAGCGCGCACTAAGGCGAGCGCTGGCTGGCAGCATAAATTTTTGCTAGCAAGCTGCCAATCCACATTTTGCTCGCAGAGTTCTTGGGAGTCGTTTTTCGGGAAGAAAGGATTCCTAGGAGGGCAGGTAGAGCTGGAAGAGCTGCGTGGGAAGAAGTGCTGGATGTAAGTGTCACTCTCCCCGGGCATAGGCCCTGACCGAATTCCTATGCGAGCAGCCGCAGCTATGACTGACCACAGTACCAGGCGAAGGACTGGCAGGTTGAGATCTTGGTTAGGACCTATTTTACACAGGTACAGAAAGCCCTTTGCAAAAGATTCCGCAAATGTTGTGCCATCAACGTTATTCACTGCCCAAAAACATCTTCACTCTCGTGCGATTACCTCGTCTGGGTCGCCTGCGCGCTCTTGACCTGCTGCCTTCTCCAATAATAAGCACCAAACTCCGTGCAAACTCTGCGCTACACACCCTTCATCACCCAATCGAATCTGCTCTTATATGTGCACACCCTCTGACCATTCTAGAATAGACAGTGCGGGAAGGGGAGCAAGAGTAGTGGACACTGCCAGAGAGATGTCGTCTCTCTCGAGGAGAGCGTGTTACAAATGCGGCAATGTCGGCCACTATGCTGAAGTGTGCTCCTCATCTGAACGGCTTTGCTATAATTGCAAGCAGCCAGGCCACGAGTCAAATGGCTGCCCACATCCTCGCACCACTGAGAGTACGTTGATCATACCACAGCTTGTTCTTCATTGCCGACTGACTCCCGTCCAGCAAAGCAATGCTATCACTGCCAGGGCCTAGGACATGTCCAAGCTGACTGCCCAACCCTAAGGCTCAGCGGAGGTGCTACGGGAGGGCGTTGCTATTCCTGTGGTCAACCGGGTCACCTTGCTCGTAATTGTCCTACTCCTGGCTCTGCACCACCCATGCGTGGTGGCGGTCGTGGTGGATATGGAGGAAGCTTCCGAGGTGGATTTGTTGGGGCCAATCGTGCAGCCACCTGCTACAAATGTGGCGGACCCAATCATTATGCTCGCGACTGCCAAGCTCAGGCCATGAAGTGCTATGCCTGTGGGAAGTTGGTAAGAGATGACCTCTTCTTAAACTCCAAGACTTATTGATAACAATCTCAGGGTCATATTTCTCGTGACTGCACGGCGCCCAATGGTGGCCCTCTCAACTCTGCTGGAAAAGTCTGCTACAAGTGTGGCATAGCAGGGCACATTTCTCGCGATTGTACCTCCAATGAAGTCAATGGGACTGTTGCTGACGCGGCTACGACACCGGCAGCGGCGACAGCAGCAGCAGAGCCTGTTGCCATACCCAGCGTTCCAGCGGCTCCTGCAACCGCCACCGTCACTTGATATTATTTGCCATCAGTCGAGAAGCCGATTATTGAACGTTCACTCTCTAGAGTCATTTCTCTTTTCTGATTGGTTGTGTATTCAATTCTTCTCGGCTTGATGTTAAATTGTCTTTCCTTGCACTTTTGGTTCGGTAATACTACAGCGGTTCCTTCCCTTTTTCCGCAGCATCGACAATAAATGCCTCACGACTCTGCTACACGTTCACGACCCATAAGGATGGCTACTTTGCGTCCTGACTACGATCTGGGACTCACGGCGTCTGCTTGCTTTGTAGCTTCTCTGATTCGTCCAGCGAAGTTTACTAGCACAAGGCTTGGAGGAGATGATCTGAAAAAGAGAGGATGGACAGATTGGAGGCCTGGAGCACGGCTTGATAGATGGCAATGGTAATGTCAACGCTGCAGAGGCAAAGGATCTTGCATCTGATGTGGCAATCTCAACCATAAAGCTCCATCTTTCATAGTGTTGTCGTCAGAAGTCAAATATTAGAGCAAATTCTGACGAATCCTTTTCCTATGCCGCAATGGGAATTGCTCAGTCCACTTAAGGTTGCTGTCAACGACGACCTGTACGTTTTCAGTCGTCCTCCACTGCCTCACTCATCTTACCCATCAAGTTTCCACCCCCTCTCAGTTTCATCTCACCTCGCAATGTCTGCTCTTGAACAATGATTCCCCCCCTCTCACCCAAACATCCCAAAGAAGCACCCAGAATTCAACACCCGTCCTTACGATCCCAGACTCTAGACTCTAGACCCTTCTCTCCTATATTCCGCTGTAACTATCTGTCCTTCCACCCACGGGAACCAAACACCAGCAGTAGGAGACCAAGGTCCATCTATATAAGAAAACAGGATACATGCACCCATCTCGCTCCCACCCCACCTTTTCAAACAACTCACAATATGGACCGTACTACACCAACAACAGCGGTCACATCAAGAGACAGCGGCGGTCTCTGGTGCATAATGCTGCTTAGCCCTCAGTTATGACCGGGCGGGGGTTATTACAGGAGATCAATGTGCGTTTCGCTGGGATCGGGATCGGGATCAGGATCAGAATGAATGAGATAATCAAACAGAAAGAGAAAGAGAAAGAGAAAATTTGCGCGGGTCTTTGTTCTTTAAGAGGTCGATTCGAGAGCTGACTTGTATCTTGTATTGATCAAGCCCTTGATTTAACCAGTGGTGTTCTGCTTCGGGTTCACAGTGACTTGATATTTAGTTAAAGGGGGGCGTTGGTCAAAGGACTCCCATAATACGGAGGGCACTACACGTCAAATATGCCCCCCTATCCGAGTTGGCAAACTGGAGCAGCATGCGCATGTTATTTCATTTCATTCCGCAAACCCCTCCCTGTATCTACTCCCCTATCATTTCTCCCTTCTATACCTTTCTTGATATATGACTTGTCTCTTCCCGTGACTCACTTTTAACTGTCTGCTTGTGGAGTGTCTGCTGACACGCCATTGATGTCATCGATGGTAATGCCTCAATTCGTGGTGATATAATGGGGTTGGAGGGAGTGATAGGGGGTGGGTTAGAGTATTTCAAGGCAGTGACCAAGTTTCTGAGAGAGAGGAGTATGAGATATGAGATGGGGCAGGAGTAGTGAGGTCATGGTTTTGGTACGCTTTGGAGTTTAGTTGTTGGGCGGAGAGAGTATGGTGGGGGGTTGTTGATCTATACCACAAAGCCAGTCGAGCCACCCAACAGTTCTTAGAGTACGTGTCACATCGGGAATCACACCTGATGCAAGAAGGAAGTTCTAGAATGACGGGTGTGAGGATGAAAAATTCTTTGGAGGAGATAATGAATCTGCTCCGGTATATTGAGAGGATAGCCATAGAAATCATTCAACCTTGCCAAAAGTCATGCTAACCATTAAATTGCTAGATGGTTACTTCGCAAGCAGCAGCTAAGACGCAGCTCGCTCTCCGCTTCTCTCCGAATTGTCGAGAGAACCGTGATATTGTCATCCTAGACAATAAATAGCTTTACTCAGCCATTTGGTCCCAGGAGACGGACCGAAGATGAAAAGAGTGGGGAGAGGGTTGTTCAAAGGGAATAGAGGTCCTGGCTCTTCTCCGGATAAGCCGTGAAGGTCGGATGAGACATGCTCGACTGCTAAGATATGACGGACCGGTCGGGTTCATGGCGACAGAGCCGCTGTAGAAAGCAAAACAATGACCAAGGCATGCAGTCCATGTCAAGGTCATCGCTTCTTGGATCCACTTTTCCTTTGTCGAGGAAGTCATCCTGGCCAAACTCCCCTCTCTGCAGGCCAGCTCTGAAATAATCTGGGCTAGGTGGCCAGATAGTGACATGTACAAGTGAGAGCTGACGCAGGTTAAGCAGCAGGAAGGGCTTAAGGTAGTGAAGAAGGCAGTCGCACACCGTAAAACACAGATCCCGAGCTATACTAGAAGGGGACCATTGAATCTCCAACACTACCTGAACCGTGATGTGGAGCGTGAATGGCTGGGCATGGAGGAGCTGGGCTACACCGGGAGCATTGTCCACGGTCCAAAGGTCGTTATCAATAGGAGGCATAATTGTGCGTTTCTGAGCAAACTGCATACCATCCTAACATCTTTGTGGTACGAAAGAGGCCCATGATCTGCCTCATCGGAAAAGACCAACGTACGATTGTGCGCCAAAATCTTAATTTCCAAATTTCGAACGTAGAGCCAGTGAGGAGGATATATACATGACAAGCATGTATGTTCCAGGTCCTCATCTTCGAGCACAAGGATGATAATCGTGTTTTGGCGAATGAGCATCGGAAGAGCTTCAGAACTGAATTGACGACAGACCTGAAGCAACGGAACCTTGGCACTTCCTTCTTGTTTGATAAAGTTATTCAGAATTGTGCTGCTTCTGAGACGTTCGACCAACTTCGCTACATCAGCATGTCCCTGAGGCAGCAAGAAGAAACGCTCTCCACGCGGCAAAAGATAGCCGTAGATCATTTGACGGATCTTGACAGGAAGAGCAAGTATTGGTGAACGTGCTGCGCCCACGATATTCCGAGACACAGTCGAGGCAGCTAGAGAGGATTCAGGGATTGGATGGTCTTGCAAATCTTGCATGTCCAGGGTGGGCTTTTCACGGGAAGACCTAGAGGATCTAGTGGTCAACTTGGCAACCTTTCGCCGCTTAGAACGACGGGCTCCTTCTTTCCGCTTGGATGGTATATTGTGCTGTTTGACCAGAAAGGAAGTTATATCAGCTGCCGGTCAGATGTAGGATGCTGCTCATATACAAAGTTGCTTCTGATATCGGTATGACATGAAGCAGCTACACCATCGCTGGCAAAATCTTCTGGCTGAAAGAATTTTCTGGAAAAAACCACGCTTTGAAAGAAGACCCAGTGTAGTACAAAGGATTGTAGTGAACACAAACATCTAGATACCGCGTTAGCATGCACCGTAGACTTTGCGAGAGGGTTCACGCTTACCATTTCATTCTAGAACTAAGTTGCCAACATGTAACTGATTGTTCTTCGACATGCCAGCTGATGCTTCCACCACAAGGAACTGTAGGCCACCTTGCAGAACATGTTCAGGGTTGCATCGGGAGGAAGATTGGTTTTTGATGCCTGGATCGGCATATGATAGACCGTCGCTAAATAGACGCGGTTCATTCGATGTCATCCTTCGGACTCTTGCTTGTTTCCTTGTCTCTACTCAACGAGCGAGTTCGACTTCTGCTCCGACTCCTACTTCTGCCACCTCGTCCTCCACGTCCGCCACGTCCACCCTTTGGCTTCTCTTTCGGTGGCGGCCGAACAAATGCGAAGTCGACCGAAATCGTTTGGTCGAGAAGTTTAGTATTGTTCAGGGCCTTGATGGCAGCTTTCGCTTCTGGTTGTGTTGGATATTCAATCAGAGCATATCCCTACCATGCCAAACAAATCAGCATAAAGCTTGCGAGTGACGAGTTAACAGCCGACCTTGACGTAGCCTGTTCTGCGATCTAGGTTCAGGTGGATGTTCTTGATTTCTCCATACTCGGCGAATAGATCTGTCAAGTCCTCCTCGGAAGCTTCTTCATGTATGTTTGTGGCGATAATAATCCAGCCTTCAATACTGCGGACAGCTACAGCATTGGTTGAGGTGCGCGCTTCACCTGCAGAACTTGCTTTGGTATCGCCATTTTTGAGATTGGAGGATGGAGGGGTAGGATCTATGTCCATTTCGGTAGACATATTGGCAGATATGGGGGCAAGTGTATGTAGTGGGAGGGTTTGTACGTTGCGACTGGAAGGTCAAGTTCGGCATTACTACGTACTCAGCGGGCAACAAATATAAAAATGGCAAATGCCAAATAATGTAAATTTGCTCGCGGCTGCCCCCGTCCGGGCCTAGGGTGATGCCGTTTCAGCTCACCCAGCCTCGCCCAGACGAGGGTGAGCTGCCCAGTTTTGGCAGGCAGCAGCTTTGGCAGTTAACGCTAATCATTCTTTGTAAGGGATAAATTTGCGATCGGTGTCTTACTTCTTTTGGTCTAGCGCAGGCTGATTTAGGGGGCCCTCTCAATGCTTGGCCCAGATATAACGTACTACTAGTACGTAGTAAAATGCCTACCGCCATTCGATCCCATTTACTCCGTACAGAGTACTATTCTCCTGTTTTCTACACCTCCCTTTTCCCTCTTCTTCTCGTTCGCTATTTCATCAAGAACGCCCTTTGTAGCTACACTACTACCTTAGCCTTTATTGTCGAAATTCCTACTCTGTTGTGCTGTGCTTGCACCTTCTGGCTAGGTTTTTCTAGTAACTATCTAAATAGTACTCTGTATTTCCTGTGCCTTTAGCACAGGAAAGCACTGGGGATCCACCCACCCAGACACGTTCGCCCATTATCACTTTAAAGCCAGAGCAGATAACTCGATCGCTCTCTTCATGTAGGGAGCCAGTGATCGTTGGCAGCATGGTCGCATCGGTTTCACCCACCGGGTTCACCATCCTCTTCGAGCCCAATGTGACTGAGCCGGTAGTTGAGTAGGTCCACCCAGCCAATGTGATTTGGGCGAACACAGGCTCACTCTGTTCCTAAATTGAAGCATCATTCTCGTGCATGGCCTTCAAGGGCACCCTCAAAAAACATAGTCCTGTGAGAGAGTAAAACCGGGCGCCCGAAGGTTGCCCGCTCCCCAGGCTCGGAGAAGTAAACCGCCGCTTCAGCCAGAATATCGGTTACAAAGCAAACTGCGAGGTGCCTTACACTTCTGGCAGAAATCTTCCAGTAGCTCCTCCTCTAGAAACATCCCTTCGAACCGGGATAGCAATGTCTACCCCGAGGATGTGACTTACTGGCCGCGGGATCTTCTCCCCCTCGACTGTCCAAAAGCGCGCATAATGACTTGGGGGTACGACTCGACTGTCGTGAAAGGCGTCGCTACCCCAGTTGACAAGAGCAACATCTTTGCCCACGCGAGAGACTTGCTTTACGCTCTCGATCGCGAGAGGCCACCTGGCCGTCCGCTGATCTTCGTCACGCATTCTCTCGGCGGCATTGTTGTCAAGGAGGTGAGTTTCCGAGCTACCATCCGTTCCCACCACAGACTTCGGGTTGTCTGAATTATCTGAGAATAATGACTCAGCTGGCCAGATGCTCCGTCGCTCCGAGACCTCGGAGGAGAAATCGGTTCAGGATATCGTCGAGTCCACGCAAGCTGTCGTCTTTCTCGGCACTCCGCATCGAAGAAGTGCTGAGCTGGCGGCGCTGGGCGATGTGGTGAGGAAAGCTGCCCGCATGATTCGCAGGGCCGACACGAACCCGGCCCTTCTGCGCTCCCTCGGTCTTTTATCACCCAGTGGCGGCACTACAACTTTCGCGTGAAGACGTTCCAGGAGGCATTGGGCTTCAGCGGTGTTGACATCGGCCCACTCAACGAAAAGGTCAGAAATCCATCATGACTGGATGGCCGTTGAAAGCAGACTAAGTCAGTATCCAGGTTGTTCCAGACAGTTCCTCATCACTTGACGACCTTCGGGAACATGCAGAGACGATTCATGCCAACCATATGAACATAGTCCGGTTTACAGACGAAAGTGACCCTGGATATCGCAAGGTCGGCGGAGAGATCAAACGATTGGTTGGGTTTGTCGGTGAGAAACGCCACTTCCGTGTGTCCTATGATACCTGCTTAGCCGTTAACAGTTGCACGAAGCAAATACACCAACGAAGAAATCACCGGTAAGCCTGCGCTCGGTCAATGTTGAAGGTTTGCCCATGACCATTCAGGGTGTATGCAATCGCTCTCATTCCGTGATCTCGGTGCTCGTCAGCACTACATAAAAGACGCCTGCGAAAACACCTGCAACTGGCTCTTTGATACGTCCACTTATCGTATCTGGTACCGCCGACAACCTCTCTCCGATCATTGCGGATTGTTCTGGCTCAGAGGCAAGCCCGGTTCGGGAAGTCGACCCTGATGAAGGAGGCACATCGCCGCGCCAGCCAGGAGCCGCCGCGCCAGCCAGGAGCTGCCGGGCCATTCTTCGATCGTCGCGGCATTCTTCTTCACTGCTCGGGGGAGCCCTCTCGAAAAGTCACCTCTTGGACTTTTCCGATCAGTCTTGCACCAGATGCTTCAGAGAGCTCCACAAGTCCTGACTGCCATGCTCGAGAGCTTTCGAGAGAAATAATGCACGAGAGGGGAGGGGTAGGAGTGGGAATGGCATTTGGCTGAATTGCAGCACTTCTTTCGCCTTGCTTTTGCCCAACCAAATAATTACCGGACGATGATTTTTGTCGATGCCCTCGATGAATGCGAGGAACAGAGCGTGCGTGACATGGTGTATTACTTCCAATCGGTTACCGATTCCGCCCATGCCGCAGGAGCCACTCTCGACATCTGTTTTTCGAGCCGACACTACCCTACCATCACCCTTCCGCGATGCCCAGGGCTCTCTGTTGAAGACGGGAATAGAGCCGACATTGCGCGCTATGTACGCGTGAAGCTGCACGTCGCATCTCTCTTGGACGAGACCATTTGTTCTTTGGAAACACAAATCGTGCGGAAGGCATCCGGAATCTTCCTGTGGGTGGCGCTCACCGTTGAGATGCTCATCCGAATGGTCGACGATGGCAAAGTGGCTCAGAATTTGGAAGACGCCCTGAAGCACGTCCCTGACGTTCTCGAAGAGCTGTTCTCCAACCTCTTCAACACATTGAAGCGGGATGAGCGAACTAAAGCCATCCGGCTTATCCAATGGGTCCTTTTCGCCGCCCGCCCCCTGAGCCCGGCCGAACTGAGCCTGGCGATTACTTTCAGCTCGGATCACCCATATGAGTCCGTGCCACATTGGCAAGCATCAGGTGAGTACGTCCGAAGCCCTGAACAGATGCTCCGATTTATTCGGAGCTATTCTCGAGGTCTTGTTGAGGTCAAATACAATGTCGTGCAACTCATTCACGAGTCGGTCCGCGAATTCTTTCTGTCGGGAAATGGTTTCGCTATCCTAGATGATTCGCTCATTACGGATGGAATCGGTCAAAGTCACTCTTTGATTTCGAAAGCGTGCCTCAACATCGTCGCTACCAAAGACTACCTATCCGGTTGGCCCACAGATTGGTGGCGCTTGAGCTCCTACGCGAAAGAATATCTGTTTCATCACGGCCAGGAAGCCGAAAAAAACAGCGTTAAACCACTTTGTCTCGTGGACTTGCTCACACGAAACGAGATGTTCCTGTGGAAACGGTGGAAATCGTTCTCTCCTTTTATTGATAGGATCTACTCGGAGGAAGATGTTACACTCCTCTACGTGCTGTGCGCCGAAAATCCACCTCCTGCGCGGGGTTCCTACTGGAGCAAGCCGCCGATCCTAACGAGGCAGGCTCATCTGCATGTTATGCCATCATCGCGGCCGCGAGGGGGCTCAGGAATCCCAGAGAGATAATACTCAGCTTACTGAACCACGGGGCGGACATCCACGTGAGGGACAAAGAAGGACGGACATCGTTGTTTTGGGCAGCCGAGAATGGTAATGAAGAAGTAGTGCAACTATTGATAGAGAAAGAGGCCGGTGTGCAAGTAAAGGACCAACATCACGCAACCCCATTGCATGCGGCAGCAAGCAAAGGACATTCATCGGTGGTACGACTGTTGTTGCGACACCATGCTAAATCAAATGCGAGGGACCACCGGGGAGACACGCCCCTGCATCTTGCGTCTAGTGGTGGCCACGTAGAAACCATAAAGGTATTACTCGACCACCAGATGGCTTGCGTGGATGTCAGAAACGGCTCTGGGAGAACTGCACTGCATTCTGCAATTCTCTTTGGGCACACTGCAGCCGCGCAGATGCTTCTCCAATACGGGCCTGATTTGAATGCCAGAGATCGTCGTGGAGACACTGCGCTGCACGAAGCTGCCAGAGCCGGACACGAAGAACTTACGAGATTGCTCATCGACCGGAAGGCGAATATTCACACTCAGAACCGGGAGAATGAGACCGCTTTACATGTGGCCGTGGCTTCGTCACGAAACGGAATCGTACAACTTCTTCTTCGAGAGAATATTGATCTTGAAGCTAAAGACTATGGTGCCCGGACGGCATTATATCGGGCGGTGCAGCATGAGAATTTGGTGCTCGTGAACCTGCTGATCGAGAAGGGGACAGATGTCCACTTGACTGATGGCTATGGCCGGTCTATGCTTCACATCGCCACGCTGGCCGGAAACGTTGGCATTGCGACGATGCTGCTTGAGACTGGGGTAGATCTCTCCATACCGGATCATTACGGAGAGACGGCACTCCATCAAGCCGTACAGCGCTCACTCCCTTCGCTGGTGGAGCTTTTGTTGGAGAGGAGAGCTGACGTCAATACGCCAGGCAGATATGGTCGAACGTTATTGCATATTGCGGCCGTGAGTGGTTACGATACCAAGGTTTTTGGCGTGATCCCATCGGTGCACTATCTGCTGGTGAAGGGGCACAGGCGGGTGGCTAACCTACTATTCCATACAAACATTGACCTTGAGGCAAGAGACGTTCATGGATGGACCGCGTTGCATCTTGCTGCACAACATGGAGATCTTACTCTCGTGAATGCGCTTCTTGAGAGAAAAGTGGACCTCCGTGCAAACGACTCTCACGGCCATGTGGCATTAGATTTCGCGCAACAACACAACCACAAGGCAATTGAATGGCAGTTGCTCTCCAAACTGTATCCAAAGACTGACAGCCGGCTACTCAAAGCATCTACCGGATCATGATTAAAAAGCCAGCGAAGGAAGAGGTAGGGAAGTTGGAACCCTTTTAATACCTCTTCAAGCGGCCAACACTTTCCGGTCACACCGCATCTTCATACTCCCTTCATGACGTCCAACTCTTAGGAAATGGTTTGCAAGCCCTGTAAAGATCTTACTACGTAGTATGGATTCAATGGACGAATATGTCGAATCGTCTTGACTCATTTAAAGTCCACTTTTGACAATGTAGACTCGTCGTTCATCCTAGATATTCCGATCTCACTGTAATCTGCGGTAATAACAAACATCATATTCATCAAACTCCTATCTGTACACGTTCTATGTTCTTTGCTATGGCGTCTGATAAGAATTTTAGGGTTTTCCATAGTATAAATCCCCCACTCAATGCACGCTCTCAATGCGATTTTTTCAACAAACTTCAACCATGAGCAACTCAACAACCAACGCTCGTATCGAGGCCGCTCTCAATGCGTTGGATAGCTAGAAAAGGCTGAACTATGCTGTGGCAGCAAGAGAATGGGGAGTGCATCGTACAACGCTTATGCGGCGGTATTGTGGAAAAACGACCCCACGAGCAGAATCTACTTCAACTGTCATGACAGCCAAGACCAACAGAGGTCCACAGCAGCTACGTTGATGCCTGAGGCAGCGACGTGCTGCGCTGCGCCGCGCCTGACCTACGCCTATCAGGGGTACTGAGGTACCCCTGGCGTGACCTGTGCGAGTGACCGGGGCCGTTGTACAGGGTACGCACTCAGCTGTACAGCGTACAAGCTTCTAACAGTACAGGCACAACTTCCAGCTGTGCAAGGTCCTGCCTCCGCAGCCGCAGGCGCGTAGAATCATAGAAGGCGTAGAAGGCGTAGACACATAAGGGTCTGGTCCTGCCTTGGGATAGGCAGGCCAGCGGTTCAGTTCCTACACCAAGTGATAGCTGCCATTGTACTCTTCAGGTTAGCCTGCGAATATATAGCGAATCTACAGCCAATCCACTGCGAGTGCCATACGTGGGACCCTACTGCCAACCTGGCAGGGCAGTTCTCACAGTCAGCCGCGGTGATTCGTTGGCCCTTTGTCTCGGTTAAAAAGATGTTATGACATTTAAGGAAATTCAGAACTGAAGATTGTGTCTTATAGACGATTGTAGGCCTGAATCAGATGGTGAGGAGAGTAAGGAGAGCAGGGAGATGAGACAGCGAGGAGGCGGATTTCGGGAACTGCAAGTGCGCTGTCTTTCTTTGTGAGTATGAGTGTTAGAGAATGTGGAGGTTGTGCTTCGACTGTATAATTAGACAGGAAGGGAGGAGGAAAGGAGGAAGAGAGGGGAAAGTATAATAGAGAATGGAAAGAGGTCTCCCTTTGTTTTTGGGTTAGGGCGAGGGAGGTGGAAGAAGAGCTGGCGTAGAAAAATAGAAAAATCCCCTTCCTCTAGATTGAATAGGATGGCACTAAGCAGCTATGTTAGAGACAGTTGACGAGAAACTATCGTGAGGCATGATCATGCAGCGCTTACTCACAAATCACCCGAGAAGGCTGAGCAGTGGGTGAGCTGTTGATAAAAGCGGTGGCGAGGGGGGGTGAGAATCGAGGTGAATGCAGAGCAGATTTTTCTTTAGGGAGTACTCCGTACTTCAGTTGCCAAGGCCTGCCAGCCAAGGCCAAATTTTGGTTCCAACGTCTCGTCTTCCCACACAATTCATCCTAACTGCTTCATCACCATTGTGAATAGTACATGATGTCCGATTTATGTGATGCTACTGTCAATGTGCAGCGAAGTTACTAATGGTCTCAAGCCTATTTATATCTTCCAGGAGCATCAGGCCCAGGCGAAAGCACACTCCATGGTGCTGTGTCCTGTCCTCCTGCAAAGATCAAACATGTCTTGAAGTCAACACATCCAGAAGGCTGGTCAGACCGAGTATCTCACAATATGGAGCATTCTCTTTGTCAGGATCAGCGTATTCCATACATGCCTGAACCCATGCTTCTTGCCTTCCTTTCTCCCCTCCCTGGTCTGTACCCTGATTTAGGCCCTGTCTGGTGGTATGGGTGTCAGTTTATGAGTTTTCCAGTTCTACTCCTACCAGGAAGAGAATAAAGTGGCTCCTGGAATCTCAGGGCTGCATGAAGCAGTGCGAGTGCTAATGGCTTGCCCCTGCCAAGACTCCGCCATGATGCTATGGTGTGGTTTCCGCTGTTGTTCAGCGGAATTCCTTGTTGCATCTCAAAGCAAAGGCAGGTTGCCAAGCTTACATATTCACACGCGCTCAACGAACAACAGCGGCTGGCCACACTGATATCTCAAGCATGGCCTGGGCTCACAAACAATGACAATCACAGCAGTTGTGCATTACTCTTTGACAGCAGAGAGCCTTACCGCACTCTAAGAAGACAATGTCTACAGAAATGCGACGTGTTCTCCTGACCAGTAGGCTTTTGTGTTCCGGCGGTTAAGTGTTGCCTGCAACTGATCTAATTTGTAGAGCACAAACAAACAACAACTGCGCCTCCCACACCGCAGTTGATAACACCAACTGCATTGATGAGAGCATCCGGCATTGATTTGTCCCCTCAGTCTTCAGCTACCGCAGTACACACAGACACTTCACCCAAATTACCTCCAGCTGTCAGGTATCCCTCAGTCAAACGCGAGAGCTGTTCTCCAGCAACCAATAAGCAAGTGAAATCAGAGCCTAGATCACCATCACCTCCACAGCCAATACCATCCACAGCCCCAGAACAAACACTTAGTATGCCTGCAGCTTCTGACTCAAGTGCTACTGCGGCAATGCCCGTCAGCTCTTTGATCAGTGCCATGATCGACACTACTGAATATCCTTCTGCACGGCCCAAGAGCCCGTCTGTGCCATGTAGCACCAGAACAAGCGATGAGCAGGTTGCCAAACAGTTCGCAGCTGGCATTGCATCTCTTCCTGTTGATGCTCCTGGCAGTCAACAAATACAGTCTGTACAGCAACCAGACGACTTTACAGCGCCCGATCCTGCTTCTTTGGCCACACCTACGTCCGTACCCCGCAAGCGCTATGCTTGGCTTGAGAAGAAGGAGCCAGCCAGCACAGCAAATGTGCAAACATTGTCCTCTGATACACCACCCACGGCCAGCATCTCTTCTCTCCAGAACACTCGTGCGATCTCATCCTCTCCAAGCAGCCCGCAGCCAGAAAAGCGTCAGCGCCTCCTACCGACTGCTCCCAATCCAAATGCTGAGAAGGCCAAGTTAAGCACTCCTAGTTCACTGTATCCAAGTCCTTCAACCACCATGCCACCTCCAAACCTGCGAGATGCTAATGCCGCCAAGAAGCGATCTCGCCTTGCCCGCGCCGACCATCCAGAACGCTTTCAGTACGCTGGTAATACCTTCAGTAACCTAGACGATTCTACCTTTCACCAGACCGTTCAGCAAAATCCTTACCTATCTGAGCTGACCGTTGATGCCTCCCGCCCAGTCTACAACAGTCCCAAAGAAGCGCGCCACGCGCTCAAGGAGGCGGCAAAGCCATCTGTTGCTGAGGTCAACTACGACAAGCAAATCAAGGAACTGGAGAGCACCATTGCCAACTTCCGCAGGAAGTATGAGAAGACCAAGATGATGACTACACAGGCAGGAATACAGGGGGCAGGCAACGTCTGGGATCGTCTGTCCAACATTGTGCAATACCCGCCAGTCTTTGATGAGTATGCACAGAACGGACCAGACGATCTAGGCAACTACATCAAAGAGATGAGAGCGTGGGATAAAGCCATCGGACACCAAGTCATCATCAAGAAGCGTATTGTGTACAAGGAAGCCATTGAGAAGTTGCAGGTCAAGCTTCACATCCTGCAGACAGAGAAGGATCTGGATGGCCACAACACACGTCTCAAGAGGAAAGCTGCGCAGGCTATGGATGATGAAGACTAGGGCAATGGTAGATGCTCCAGCGTCTTTCTGGATACCGACTGAAGAAGAATGCTGAGGATGGGAGGCAATGACAGAAACGACTTGGATGGTTGTGGTCGGAGGGACGCCGGGCCGATATCAAGATATCAAGATATCAAGCTTGGCTGATGGAGAACTGTTGGCGTGTCATTGGGGGATCTGTTGAGCTCCTGCGCCCCTTTCCTTTCCTTTTGCTTCTATCGACTGTACATCATTCTCTTCTGCCTCCTCCATTCATTCATCATGTGACCATTAGACAACCATGTCACAATCAGAGCATCCTTAGCATACACAAATAGCAACTCTATGAAAATCTCAGCCGCAACAGAAGTACCGCTTTGCAATTCCAAGTAGCGTATCATGCTCAGCTTTCTAACCTTGTCCTCCCTCAACCAAGCCGCAAAAATCTTGCATCTCAGGATTCCTCCTCCTACACCCGTCCACATCTGCCCCACACTGATTCTCCGGATAGGTAGGTCACTGCTGATCTGGTGAGGGCGGAAAGAAGGAGATTTTCGTGGCCTGCATGCACGATTGATAGCCAATGCAGAAGAGGTTGCATTTTATGGTGGTGCAGACATCGAGAAAGTATACCTGAATAAAATATAGAAATCAACATAATTAATAGAGCTATCTTTATGCTTAATGCTGATGTTAAGCTTCCTACTTGTTTTAGTAATATATATACATAAGAAATTAATATCATTAAATAATCTAAATGCCTCTGAAGTTAGTATAACAACAAGCTTATTAGAGATACAAAGAGTAATAAATATAATCAATAAGCTTTATTCAAGTGCTAACAGCTTAAATACAGCCATATCTTCCTCCTGAGCACCCTATCTTTCTCCTCCTCGCCGCCGCCAAAGTAGAAATAGCGCATATCCATACAAGTTGACTGAATTGTCAGATCAGTCAATTCAATTCAATTCGAGGGCGCTGATTATGTAATCAATTCAATCCGGGGCCTCGAATTGACTGATTTGAATTGATGGATACACTGTATTAATGTTTGGGTGGTGGGAGGATGCGTGTGGGCTGGTAGGGGAGAAGAGTGTAGAAAGCATAAAGAAAGAATCGTGGAGACTCCATTGAATGCCGGATACGAGATTCCCCACAGGACTCAAGTTGCAGAAGGCAGATTCACATTATCACAAAGGTACGTAGTTTGGAAAGTTGATTAGGTCGTTAGCGACGCACTGTATGTTCTGGATATAACACTACAACAAACTAGGTATGTACATGAGATTAGCCCACGTCTTTGTTCCTGACAAATCCATAGCCAGCCCAGGTGCTATTTATTCACCAGTACTCTCGAGTCCGAACCAGCAGGCCCGCATCATACATCGCGCAAGCCAATCAGCAAACCCTCGAATCACTCCTTCAGGTTCAGCCACTCGGCCGGCCACCAATACTCACACGACTTGGACATCTGGTCCGCCGGGCAGCAGTCCTTGGGCTTGCCCTTGTAGCATTCATCGGCGAACCATTTCTTGAAGCCCATCTTGCGGCATTTCTCCAGCACTTCGTTGTACCTGTCCTCGGCCTGCTTGCTCTTCGAGAGGCAGCCACCGGGTCTCCATGGGTCGTCGGGCGCCCACGTCGAGTTGGTGGCGGTCTCAGGGGTGGAGATCTTGGGGAGGAGGGCGGAGGGAGCGCTGGTGGGTGCTGCTGTGGTGGCGCCGCTGAGGAGCAGGACGAGGAGCGGGGTCAGTGTGAAGGCGAGCATGGTGTGTGGGTTTGTGATGGCAGTGGTAGTGGTAGTGGTAGTGGTAGTGGTAGTGGCAGTGGTAGTGGTAGTGGTAGTGGTATGTTGTGGGGGTGGAAAGACCGGCTTTCACTGGGAGATTTTGGATTGTTAGGTTGGTATGGTTTTGGGTGTCTTTCATTCCGGGATGCTGGATGGCAGCCTGCTTATGTAGGAGGGGGGCATTGTCTAACTTGATTTACAGAGATCTGTCCATCTTTATCTGGGTCGTTCTTGGTTTCGTTGTTCGTCATCGGTTTCTTTGTCTGGTTGATTGTTGCCTTTGCGGCACCCGGAACATCGTTGACGGTTGGGAACATGCAGAAGCCAATTAATGCAGACTGCCGTTGTTAGGTAGGGGACAGCTTCATGTGTAGGAAATGACATCGTCAAGACCATTAACAGGTATGCAAGTGATATGGGGAAAAGGGGAAATATGCTGCGTAAAGAGAAAGGATACCTGTGGCATTACTTGAGGGTGCTTTGTGAGGTAAACATTTTCCGGCTTTACTTCCGTAGAACAATGGATTGATCGATCAACAGCCGTATCCCATTCAACTGGGCCTGCGGTGGACAGTGTAGGATGTGGATGCGATCCACTGAGATAATGCAAGACTTCTAATCCAGGTGCGCTGACCTTCGGCTAGAACGAAGCGGTCACTGACAGAATATCAATGGTCAATCTGGATTCCAAAAGTGGTCAATGGTTATCTGTCAGACACAAGCTAGTTTACCGTCCTCTGGGGCCACGGCCCTTTTGAACCAACACCATCTGCTGAGTTGTGAACACTTCGAGGATGGAGAGGACGGAGAGGACGGAGAAAGTCGTAACAGGCAAGCTTGGCCAGGAGACAGCCTGCTTCCTTAGAACTTCAGTGCTCGACAATGTCCGATCATCTCATGGAGAACCTGCTAGCTCAGAGCTGTGCGATGTAGCAAAGGCCGTGAAAATGTGCTACATCAGACTTCGAAGTGATCATCGTTGTGGAGCGTATGATATCGATGTTAATAGGATTGTGGAGCGAGGTCATGATCTTTTTATTAAGACCGAACTCGGACAGAAACAACTTGGACTTCAAGTTGATTCCATCGAGCTTGTACTCCGTACGTATGCTAAGGGCTACCAGCACAGAGGAAGCAGCAGCAGCAGCAGCATCCGTAGTCATTGCATACTTACTGTCCAAATGATGCTGCGGACTGTAATAATTTCAAGTGCTGCAACAGGCATGTCTAGCTTAGCTTAGACTTGATTGTGCTTCTATTCACCAGCATCGTATAGTGGACTACGGGCTATGCGCACTATGGACAGCACCAGGGGCAGGACTCCCTGAGTGTAGCCGTACTTGTATGATGAGACGAAATGTGATGAGCCTGCAACGCCCTGTAGATGCATCGGCCTAGCATGAGTCTTTCGATACGAATTCTCCTGGGCGAAGAAATCAGGGACATCAGCTCTGGTTGACGACTAGGGAGGAAGTAGAAGTGTAGGCTGAATTCTGAGTTGTAGAGATACAAATCTAGATTGTGCAAGCGCAGACATGCGTATCATTGCTGTATGGTAGAGCCACAAAAGCAGAGATGGTGCTAGCGAGTCCTGGCAACTGAAGTAGCAAGATCGAAGATAGACCGGTGCCACACCCGTGCTATTCTCTTGATTGCACGCCCGCAGACACAAAAGACATCCTTCAACGTTATTCATCCAAATCACTGGGCCTCATCAGTCATCAGTGATATGTATTGTACCATTCAGCCGATCTGCTCCAGAGCTCGTCGGAAGTGTCAATAGCATCCATAGTCACCTCATCCAGGGAGTCCAGGATTTCCAGGATTTCCTCGACATCTGCGTCTGCAAAATCTCTCCTTGCGACCCACCGGAAGAGGCTAGCGAACTTATAATACCAATCTATAGCAGTACGCGTGGAGAAGGGGACCTGTGGATCAAGATCTCGCCGTAGGAGCTCTCTCAAGAATACCTTACCAATAATGTCTTCCACAACTTGATCATTCGTTAGATACCTGGCGAAAAGGTCGTCTGGACTTTTCACTTTCGCCACCCAAGTCTCCATTTGTATAGACAAGGCGTGGTGTGAAAAGGGTGGGTCACGCTGGCGCTCCTTTCCAAATGATGAACGACCTAATCGTGTCAAGTCGAACATTACCCACAATGCCTTGCGAAGCCCTTCACAAATCGGCGTTAGGCTATTCTCTAAGTAGCTGCCGTCCTCTTCCGGAGCTTCTGTGTGATGGATTCTCGAAAACCATATGCCTCCTGATGAGAATTCCGAAACCCCGCAGTTGGCAAGAAAAACGGTATCATCAGGCGGAAATGGTACCGAGACGTCCATGCTCAGGATGAGAAGATTGGCTATATCTGGAGGCCGCAGAATGGTGATGATGCCAGGTATGTCGTCTTGCGTAACACTACGGATGACCGAGGGATGACCCAGTTGAAACGGTGGTTTTCGAAGGCGAACGAAGAGAATGTTCCAGGCTTTGACAAGATCTGCCATGTCCCGAATTGAGCAGCCCGGAAGAGGTAGCACGTCAGTCTCACGAAAGACATTTAATGCAATGGCAGACTCCCAGTGCATTATATTGCCAAAGTTGAGAATTGCCTGACGAAGCCAGACGCCTACGATCGCCTTATAGAGGCGCGCCACCCATTCTGCGGAAGGACTGCAGACTGATAGTCCTCCACTGGCGGAGGAACGAGCAGCAGTAACCATCTTTTTGACGGGGTTCCTCTCGAATGGATTGGTTGGCCATTTGCCATCGAATTCAAAACAGATATCGACCAACAAGCGCAAGCCACTCCATCGGGCAAGAATGTCATCTACCATGCAGACGGAGACAAAACGGCGGGTTTGGCGGACAGATAAAAGATCTGCCAGCTTGTCCATCTTGGGGCGACATTTGACATGAGAGTCAGGATTTGCTATTACTTGTAGCGGGTCCGGGTGCTTCGCAACAAAGTCCTGTATGGCATCGATAAAGTGACATAGCTTAATGTCGGAAATGTAGACGGGGGACTGAAGCTGCTCCAGGTAAGCATTTGTGAAGAAAGACAGTTCCGGCCAGCCGGAGTGGACGCGGAGCTCACAATGATCGACTGGAAAATGATATATCTATTTGCCTCGAAGACGGCATTGGATTTCTTGCAAGTGCGTTCAAGATGATGCGTATCGTCTATCGTATACAAGTGTTGGAAGACTAGAAGCTGAATCTCACAAGCCAGATCGGCGAGAAGAATCGCCATTGTTTGTTCAAGTAAGACGCCCAATGGATGATGGAAGGTGGAAAGAAGGTGATGATGCTGGGAAGTGGAAGTGGATCTCGGCTTACGCCTTTATACATAGTATAGGTGAGGACTGACAATGACTCTTATGGTGTAAGAGTGACATTGTTGTCAGTGATATACATGTGCTCACACATCCTCTCACGACGTAACTGTTCATGCAGTCAGTTCAAGGTGATCGAAGCCACCCGTATGAAGCTGTGCGACCAAATCAGTCATCGTCACTGCCGCCTCAGAGGAGAGCAGCACCGACATGTCATGACAATGGCGGTATAAGAAGGCATTTCAAACAAACCATTTTTGGTTTGCATTTGCATTCTCCAACAGTATAAGGCAAACAGCGATCTTACTGGATTGTCATCATGTTTTTCAGGAGGTGGATTACTTGGTATTGCTTGAGGAACTTGAGAGCGAATGCCAACTCGGAGTTCAAGACCTTGAGGTTCAAATTCAAGTCCAAGTTCAAGTTGTTTAAGTTGATGCCAAGCCCCCAACTGATGCTTCGTGCTCTGATTGGCTGGTGTGAAATAGATGTTTCTTCCCGAAATTGAACAATGAACAATGCGTGTTCACTGTTCATCTTCCTCCACAATACCCTCCAAGATTCCATCTTTGTCTAAATTTTCTTAATATTACAAACAACAGAGCGTTGAAAGCGATTATATTCCAACCGACAGCCAAGCCTCTTTCATCTTCATGCTTTCACGATTCAGTTCAGATCAAGCGTTCCCACTACCTCTACCTCTGCCTCTACCTCTATCTCTACTAATACCAGTACCAAGAGCCACGGTTCGCAGCTACTGCTACTGCTGGTATTAAATTATGCCGCATTGTTCACGTCGAGTATTGCAAGATTTCCCTTGAACTCTAATAGCGAATCTATTGCATCTCTATCTTCCCTCTTGTAATCTATGGCGACTCCTAGCATCCTGACAGTTCGCTGGAAAGAAGCATTTGGGGCTGAAGAACGTCCAACCCTGTATTCTTCGACCGAGCCGCAAAAGAAGAACTTCGCCAGCTTGAACTCATCCAAGAATTTCATCAAAGATCTGGAATCATTGTCGCACCCTCAATTGTACGCTCTAGCAGAAAATTGTCAATTGGCTCTAAACACAGCTCAGGATGAGTACTTGCATATCGAGTGTCTTGTCAGACATCTCGAGCAGAAAGACCCTCCACTCAAACCTAATTTTCTCCTCGAGCCGGACCGTTACGAGGAAGAAAAGGAGGCTGCTCTCTATGGCTACAAGCGCTTTCCTCGAGGCATGCCATATACACGAACCAAAGACGGTGCTGAATTCTACGGTTTCCAAGAACCATTCTCCCAGGGCGGCTTCGTCCCTACAGAAGCTCAGTATAAACGCATGAAGGCCAATGCCAAAGACCCAAACAACATCGACGGCTGGACTCCAATCGTACGAGATGGCAAGAAGCTCATTCCTCGAATGCCACGATCTCCGCCTCCGAGGCAAAAAGGCTTTACAGGTGCATTGACTCGTCCATCTCGGAAACGCCGTCTGGTCGAGCAAGGCCTCTCCGACACCGATGCTACAGCCGCCTTCTCCGACTCGGATGCCTTCGACACTCCCAGCAAACACCTAACCCGCGTTCTGGGCCGCAAGATCCCACCAACACGAGACGCGTCAGAAACGCCCGGCTCCAACCGTCACTCGCCTGCTCCGTCCCGGCAACATAGATTCATCATGAACAACCTCACTCAAGCATTGCTGTCCTCCTCCGCTTCGACTCGGCCCTCGGTCAACTCCACTCCACCTCCCCATGAAACATCACCTACACCATCCCACAAACGTCGACGCATCACTCACCAGAACAACGAACACCGCTTCACTACGGCCATCAGCTCTCGCTCTTCTCCAGTGCCTCATGATCCAGAAGAGAAGAAATGGACAGACGTCTCCCTTATCTCCGCCATAAACGCCGACCACTCATTTCTACATCCCGATCCAGCAATAGCACTAAATTGGAAGCACGCAATCCTAAATGCACCCAATCCGGTAAGGAGCTATGCCATGAAGCGGAAGTGGGCTTGGTGGAGGAAAGGTGGAATGGACAAAAGACCGAGGAGGGGATGGAGGGAAGGCACAGGAGAAGGTGATGAATCACAGGAGAATGAGATTCGAGACGGACCACGGACGAAAATGGAAGATGCCAAGGCGGCCGGGTTTGTGAAACAGGAGGAGGAAAATGACTTTCGCAGCCAACACTATGAAGAAGCTCCTGGACTACAAGGCAGACCGGCACCACCTCTTCGCTGGAAGCAGGATGATCCATTCAACGAACCATACGACACCAAGCAACCACCCACGATGCAACCCCAGAGGGACCGACAGTTCACCTTCAAAATCGACCATCCGCCACCACCACCGTCACTGTTATGGCGAACAGACGAACAGCGACGAGCAGAACCGACCATCCACAAGATCGAAAAGCTATCTTCGCCGCCGCCATTTCTGCAACGAGATCCAAGTCTACCGACCAATCGAATTCCACTTCCACCTCCACCACCACCACCACTTCAGCACTATGGCCATGCTCCACCCAACTAGTCTGCGGCAGATACGTCATAGCAGCCAAACCCGAGGGTACTTATATAGGGCCGAGCATACCTGACAGCGCTCCTGGCATCAGCACATCCTCCATTCAGCTACTAGTCGCAGGGAATAGCCAACACACAGACGCCCTTGGTTCTATCCTCCCCCAAAAAGGGGGACACGGAAAACGGAAACAGTAACAGAAACAGAAACGAGAAACCGCAATGCAGCCAGGCAGAAACATAGAATATATCATGCACTATCCCGCCGGAAAGCCGGAAATGCGGAGCCCCATTCGGATTCCACGCTCTTGCCCCCCCTCCCCGCCCCCCCCCCCCTCAACATCACGTGACAGATGAGCGGGATAGATCTCCAATCTCCACGGAAAGAGAAAGACAAGAAATTACCAACCCAAAAGGGAGGAAGGATTGGGGAGTTTTAAGCTAGCTAGCTTACGAAACAACTACTGCTCAATATCAGATCAAGGGTTTCTGATTTGGGCGGCCTCTGGAGCATCTCGAACCCCAGCCCAACCCAGTCCTGTCCAACGAGGACGAGGACCGGAGTCCGTTGTCAAGTGTTGGGCTTTACCGTCCATAGGCTGCCTTACACACCTACGCACCTACATATACCTCCATGGCAAGACAAGATACTGATGACACAATACGATAGGCAGATAGGCAGATAGGCAGCAATACGTTCCATGCAGATCCAGATCCAGATCCAGATCCAGCAGAGAAGGAGGAGGAGGACTCAGGAGGAGGTGGGAAGGCCTGTCCTGTGATCTAGCTACTAAGTTAGCTAAGTTAGAACAAGAAGGACGTGCGAGCAACAAACAATAAGTACTGGAGGCGCTGGATGGGAAGCGCAGCGTCATCATCTTCATCATCATGGCGATGGCGATGGATCAAAGAACGCGAGAGCGCATGCATCTTCCATACACCTCGAATACACGTTCAGTTGCGCATTGCATAGCCAACCAAGCTTACTCCTTTCGTAGTACAGTACTAAGTAATCTGATGCCACGCCATGCCATGCCATGCCATGCCACCCCATCCCCTCTCAAGAATTCCTATCCCGTTTGTGCAGAATCTTCTTTGCCCCCCCAAAAAAAGTCCATGTGAAGACGGGAATCTATCAATTCTTCCTCGATGCATCGAAGAGCTCGCCCAAGCCCTGTCCCTCAAGAACACTTTTCTAAACCCGCCCTCCCACACCCC